CCCGTGAGTCTGAAGCACCAAACATTGCAGTTAGCAGTCCGGGGCTGGCTGATTCTACAGCACATCAGGACTCCCAAATGTACAGAATTCAATTCAGATAACATTCGGCGTTTAAGTGACCAACCAGTGAGCTAGTGGAAAGCAACAAGGTGTGTCCCTTCACCTCAGTAATGGAAACCGCAGGGGCCACGAGAGAGGCCAGAGCTTGTCTGGTTCTGGATACACTGAGCTGTCTGATCGCTCAGGGACCACACAGAGAATGGCCGGACGTGCTCTATTCAAGGGGAAGCCCGTGCTACTGGACATGTCCTTGTTGCTATCAAGCAGGGGTTGTTGTTGTGAAGTGCCGTTCAGTCGATTCCAACCCATAGCAACCCTGTATAGAGTTTCCAAGGAGCAGCTGGTGAGCTTGAACCACCAACCTTGCAGTTCAAATGACTTTGCTGTTGTCATGATGCATTAGCCCACAGTGTAGGGAATCCTTTTTCTGCCAACATTTATAACATCATTCACAGGCTATATAAAATTATCAACTTAAATATTAACATGCTATATTTGGTCAAACATTTAATCGACTCATTTAATTAATCTGATGGCTGGAGTCCTGGTGTGGCTCTTCAGGATCACACACTGAACTGCAAGATCGATGGTTCAAGTCCAACAGCCGCTCCTGGGAAACCCTATACAGGGGCACTATGAGTTGGAACCGACTCAACTTAACAACAATGATGTGATGGCTGAACTGCAGTTGCCTTGACAGGGCCAGACCAAATGATTTCGATACAGGACAAGGGCCAGAAGTTCCCCATGACTTCTGAGGAAAGCGTTTACAAACAGTTAAAATGGAGCTCATTATCCCAGGAGTTGCTTCACCTTCCACAAGTGATTTGTTGTTGTTAGGTGCGTTCGAGATGGCTCCAACTCAGAGCGACTCGAAGAACAAAAGGCTGAAACATGGGTTGTGTGCCGCCCTCCCTGAGGTCATTGTTGCAGCCACTGAATCAATCCATCCTGTTGAGGGTCTTCCTCTTTTTCTATGACCCTCTACATCATCAAGCCTTTTTCCACGGATTGGTCCATCCTGATAACATGTCTAAAGTCCGAGAGACGAAGTCTCCTCATCCTGGCTTCGGAGAAACATTCTGGCTGTATTTCTTCCAAGACAGATTTGTTTGTTCCTGTTGGAGTCTGTGGTAGATTCAATACACTTTGCCAACACCATGTGTTTGACTGCCATGGAATTGATGCAATGAAGAAGTTTGTTCAATAAGAACTGCTGTGAAGTGAAAACTTTTTCCCCCAAAGAAAAGTAAATGTGTTTATCTGACGGAGATTTGAAAGCCAGATTCCGGCTGTTGGTGTCCACCATCTACTGCTGCCAGGTTCTGAGCCGCTAAGACATCAGTAGTTAACGGCTCTCCCTTGCTGTGTTCATGCGTAGAACAGGATTATTACAACCACTAAGTAGTTAAATAAAGCCAAAGATTGGAACCCAAAATGGGAAACCAAAGAAATGTTGAAGGGGAGTTTTAGAATAGGAATTACTAAAAAATCTTAAAAAAATGAAGCAAGCCTCCAAACAGCTTTGTGGCCACACTGGGAGCTTTCATCCTGCCCCAAAATTACCTACAAGAGAGGGCTTCAAAAAGTTCATGGAAAAAAATTTTAATTCCATTTTCCCATAAACTTTTTTAAGCCCCCTTGTATAATTCTCTTGAGATTATGTTTTTTCCTAAACAGTTTTACATTTCTCAGGCAGATGATAAATTCAAATTCAAAAGCTTTGGATTTACTGGTAGTTAGTAATAAAATATCACACATATGAATATGTGAGCAGCTTCAGATCTTACCAGGTTCTCCATTTCTAAAAAGCATTAATTAATGTGTATCCTACTCACTTAATCTTAAAAGCGAGTCTAAGTGCTGACTGAGAAGTGCATATGGAACTATTTTATACCAAAACAAGCCACCATTAAAATGTATTCATGCTTTGGGGGACCAGGAACCACATGGAGCCCGCCAGCTGCTCTGAAGGAGGAAGATGAAGCTTTCTGTTCCCAGGGAGAATGAAAGCCTCAGAAACCCTGTACAGGGTCGCTATGAATTGGAACCAATTAATACAATGGTTCTTAACGACACTTAACACAATGATTAATGTTCTGGTGTCCCTGGGTGTCGAAAATGTGCTAGATAACAGAAACTTTGGAAGCTCAAGTACACTCAAGGTACCTCAGGAAAAAGGCCCCAAATTTAGCCTATGGTTTTTGTGTTCTGACATGTGGTGCTGCTTTGAGTTGGAATCAACTCACTGGTAACTGCTTTTATTTTTTTCAATTACTGAGGTTCTCAACGTACGTTTTGGGAATACGTGGGGAGGGGACTAAAGACCCTTTTAAGGTATTCTTTGAGGTTAAAACCATATTTTCATTAAGTAAGGTATTATTTCTGGTAGTGTAGTGGTTACAAATCAGGCTGCTAATCTCATGGTCATTAGTTCGAAACTGCCAGCTGTTCTGCGGGAGAAAGATGAGGCTTTCTGTTCCCGTCAAGATTTACAGCCTCGGAAACCCTGTAAAGGGTCGCTGTGAGTCAGAACCAACTCCACGGCACTTAACAACAACAAGGTATTATTTCAGGAGCACTTGGAGTGTGGTGGGTTATGCATTGGGATGGTAACCTACAAGGTCAGCACTATGAATCTCCCAGCTAGCTGTTCCTCAGGAGAAAGATGAGGCTCTCTGTTCCCATAAAGATTGACAGCCTGGGAAACCCTGTTAGGGTCACTACGAGTGGAAACCAACTTTACAGCAGGCAGCACAGCACAGCACAGCAGTGTTGGGCTCTCTCTCTCTGTCCGAGCTTACGTGGTATGTGGGACCATCACCCTCATAGCTCAGTGGGAGGCTGCTTCCTGGAGTCTTTCAAATATTTGTTTCTATTTGCAATACAGTAAACATCAAAAGGTGTCGATTTGCGAACAGATTTGCAAAAATTGTGAGTTCTTCTTATTTTTTAAGAATGTGAAGAGATCTGAGACCAAAAAGTTTGAGAACGACAGTTTCACACCAACAGTTTTGAAAATAAGCACAAGAGGACTCGGGGGAACACAGGCATCAAACACAAACAAACCAAAAAACTAACGAAGCCAAAGAGGGCTGCTGGTGGCAGCATCCACTGGCTCTGTAGCTGCCTCTGAGATCTGGAAGTCTTCCGATCAGAGCCCAACAACACAGTGAGATAGAGCCACTCTTCAGAGACGGATGCCATGCTCTTAACAACAACACTCTATACGCTAAGTGGTGTTGTTGTTAAGTGCCACTGAGTCATTCCCGACTCACAGTGACCCTGTATAGTGTTTCCAAGGAGCAGCTGTTGGGTTTGAACCGCCGACCTTGTGGTTCACGGTCCAGTGCTGATCCTACAGCACCACATCAGAACTCCATACTCTATGTAGGGGGTCACTATCAATCGGAACCCTACGGCCCTCTAAATATAGACCACTACCTGTTTTGGTAAATAAAGTTTTATTGGAACACAGCTTTGTGGTTATTGCTCCTAAGTGCCATGGAGTTGGTTCCAACTGATGGCGGCTGGTTGGTTTGAACCACCAACCTTGCAGTTAGCAGTAAAGTGCTGATCCTATTGCGACACACCAGTACTTCCTGGAATACAGCTACGCCATTCCTTTACGTCATAGCTGCTTTGTGCTCCAATGAATAAGTCTGTAGTTGTCCCAGAGATCATCTGGTCTGCAAAGTCTATATTCCTCGCTACTGACCCTTTCCAGCTAGGGTTGACTTGCTGGGCACAACCACCTTGCTCAATCCACAGCGAGTCCTGCCTCTTCAGCTCCTTGGAATTCCAGAGCACAGCTCTGCACCCTTCGGGACGATGGAACTGACTATGGAGACTTCAAAAAGTTTGTGGAAAGTTCCATTACCTTTTCATTCCTTTTTTCCATGAACCTTTGAAGACCCTTTGTATGTACAACAATCATACATTTTTAATAAACTATAAATGACTAATTGTGAGTTTTTAAAATAAATACAAACATTTTATAATTTATCAATAACAAGGAATGAAAAGAATCAGCAAAATATTCAGATAATTAAACTCATATTTTAAGAAGTAGTCTTTAACTATATAAAAGCTTATGTAGGAAAACTACAATAACTGGGCTTAATGTCCATACCAACAAATTTTTATTTAACATCAGGTTTAAAACACAGTGCCAAAAACAGAACATTTGAAAATTAAACAAAAAGGAAAAACCACTACAGAATTCATAAGTTCAGAAACACATACGTTATTTTAAACAAAAGTTGCCTTAGACTGCAAAAAGATGGACTCTCGATGCTGTATCTATGTCACCTCTGTCCCCAAATAATGACATTTATACTATCTTTAGGCAAACCTGAAAGCATCGTTGGTATAAACCATGAGCACATTAAAAGACTATGAAACAATTTTTCACATCAATGGCCTGATTATTAAAACAGCAATAACGTACACTTGTTGGCTGTTATGTAGTGCTACAGACTACGTGAGAGGGCTTGTTGGAACGTGTTACCAAACTTGGGCATGCAGAGGTGGCTACTGACAGGTGACAAGGAAATGAGAATCGCTCACTGTGTTGACTGTGTTGGAGAGAGACCAACAAGAAGTACCGATAACACGCTTACAACTGTGTCAAACACAAAGTGCAAATTATTCCTACAACACATAACGGGCTCCAGCATTCACAGCGTACTTTCCAACTTCCCAAACGAGACGTTTTCTGTTTTAGTTAAACAGTAAGTACTAGCTTATTCTAGAAGTAGGAAAACCTACAAAAATTGTACTCACTTAAAAATCAATCACTTCTTGCTAAAGAATGGTTTCCAGACATTTCTAAGGCAGCCCTTCATGTTATATCCTAGGGTGACCGATACACGTCAGAAACGCCCTTTCGAATCTCTGGAACACTGAGTAAGTAGCACATTAACAGCCTCAAACTTGGCTTACTCGTGGGTGGACTCTTCACTCTTCTTCGAAGTGGCCCCAGGTGAGGCGTCTGCCTGGTCCTTCATCCCCTCAGAGCTCTCCTCAGCAGGTGGAAGCCCAACACACTCACAGGTGCTGCTTGTAAGGCTCACGCGGGGTCGGATGCGAGCCCCTGGCTGGTACAACTGTATGGCTGGCCGATCCTGCCAGGAGAGAGGGGCAGCGTGAGTCTTCCCGGGAAATGAGACCTTTGCCCGGCAACGCAGGAGCGGTCAATTGGGGTGTTTTTTTTTTCACACTACTTTGTATTTCTAGGGTCTGTTGGTACAAACTGTATAATGAAAACCAGTTTTGCAGCTAAAAATCATTTCTTTTCATAGGGCTGTCTCAGAAATTAGGAGTTTCCAGGGCAAAACAGAACCAAAGCCATGTAAAGAAGGGCTACTTAAAATAACGAAAAAAAAAAGTCAAAGTTGATGAGAAACTGTTACTGCCTATGTGAAGACTTCTCTGTAGAAATATTACAACCATGCACTTGAGGACTAGTTCAACATTCCCTCCCAGTTTAAGACACTGAAACTCAGTCTTGTTCTCCCATGTAAACTATCACTCAATTCACAATAGAAATGAACAAAAACTCAGTCTTATGCGCATTGCAAAATTTCCAGGTTCCCAAACAAGGTAAGCATCAGATGTACAAGAGAAGCAGGCACAGAGCCGCAGAGACGGCTCTTAGATCTGTGAACCAAGTTACTGACATTACTAAATACAACTGCCACGTGGACTATTCCAGTCTGTCAGCCAACTAGAAATGTGTGGAAATGTCAACTGTCCCTGCTTCAGAAATATAAACACTATCATCTTACTCAACTAGGTAGTGAGGAATGAAAATGACTAAAGTATTGTTGCTAATTGCTGTTGGATCGGTTCCGACCCATAGCGACCCTGTATAGGGTTTCCAAGGAGCAGCTGGTGAGCTTGAACCACCGCCGACCTTGTGGTTCAAACCGACTCTGCAGTCCAGCGCATTAACCTGCAGTTCCACCGCAGGACTGAAGTAGAGTGCGAGGCAATTGCTTTAAGGGAAACGGACAGTATCAGTGAAGGACGCATACAGTAATTCTGAAGGTTCAGATCATTAATGACAACCATTTCAGGTCCTTGCTTTCAGACATGAGAGAGGGAGACTTCCTCCTCTCCTCTAGAAAAACGTCAGTTCAGCAGAACTTATGGTCCAATAAGGAAGCATCCCCCTTAAATGTGCTGTTGTGAAGTGCTGTCCAGTCGGTTCTGACCCACAGGGACCTTCTATGGGGTTTCTGAGGAGCAGTTGGCGAGTGGACCCAAGTGCGGGACCAATCCTACAGGGCCAGTTTGTCACCTGAATGCTGCTACGGGGACATGAGCAGTTCTGGTGAGCCCACCCAACACCTTTCTCCGAGGTTCATCCCAGCTCACCTTCAGCTACTCCTATACTGAATGTGGAGGGCCACTAGCGGGTCACCAGACATGGCCGGAAATGCTCTGTCTGGACGCAGGGGCAGGGGCAGGGGCAGGGGCAGGGAAGGAAGGCCCTTAATGTTCTTTTAAATACAGGTATGGCCAATGAGAAGTGAGGAAAAGGGCTGAAGGATCCTTGTGGATCAAGTGCCCAACGGAAGAGCAGCAGCGGATTTCACATGCTGCAAGGAGCCCTACCAAGTGTGGCATTGTGGGGTACGTACTAGACTGCTAACTGTAAGATCAGTGGTTTAGACCCACCAGCCACTCCTCAGAAACCCTGTACAGTCACTGTAAGTAGAAACCAACTCGATGGCCCCTCACAACCATCAAGCGCGCTTCTGAACGGCCACTCTCTTGTCTAAGGTCAGCAGGCCCCGTTCTGCTTGACACTTGTGGAACATGTGTGTGCACAGCTGGAGTTCAAAATCTGATCTTCAGGGTAGGTGATCATAATCTCCTCTTGATCTTTCAGCCAAGACTGCCCTATCTTGTCCTACTCCTTCAGACCACTTAAGAGTTATTACGGACAAAGCTCTCTCCTTACCACTTTCTTAGATGCAACTGGGAAAAGTGAGTCATTTTGAGTTTTCACACTTAAATCTTTCAAAAATGATTTTCTGCCTTGAATTTTTTTGTTGCAATGGAAGTCATGCTGAAATCATGAAAATGGATTTCGATACAATTATGGGGACACCTGTGTCCCAATGGACTTTGGTGAATGAAACTGTGGGGTAAGGCCTGAATCTTCAGATTCATGCAGTTACATAAGTCCCGGAATGGACTCAACAGCACTTAACAACAACAACCAGGAGGTAGCATGTGCTACAAGTGGGCTAGCAGTGTTCCAGGAAACCTGAGAGAACGAAGATGTTGTTGGTGGGTGACATATGTTCCAAAGACCACAAAAAAGTTAAAGTTGTGTGAACACCCAAGTCATTCTTGCTAAAACAACTACTTACACTACAAAGGCAATCAAAAACAAGTATCCATCTGAACAAACTCCCCACCTGAAAAGACACAGGGTTGCACTTTATGTCTTCTGAGCTAAGGTAACGTTAGAAATCTTTGGTTTGACATGGGTGTGAATAGCAAAGGGTGAAGATAAGAAGGCCCTTCTCAGGATTTATCTTACCTTTGCTGGAAACCTTAAAAAAAAAATCAACATCACTGATACAATCTCAAGGGAATTTGGCGGAGTGGAAAAGGCGAATCTCAAAAGGCCACATACTGAATGATTCCATTTATGTAAGATTCCTCAGTGACTACACTACTGAGATGGAAAACATAAACGGTGGCTTGTGGGGGGATGACTAGGGGGACAGAGGAAGGTGGCTGCGAGCTGGGGCTTCTGGGACAGGCCCAAGGGACCTCTGACTCTCCGGTCCCATAGCTCTGGGAACCTCCACCAGGGGATCTGGCTGGGGGAATGAGGCAGATGGAATGCCTGGTAAAGTGTTGGCCCTATAGAGGGAGATAAGACCCGGCTGGTCTGTTAGCCTAAATACCATTTACATGGCTTCCCTGGGGCTGTGAGATCTACAGAAGAATTAACTTCAAACTGCTGAAAGAAAAGCTGTTGATAACTTGGGAATGGAAAACATATTGTAAGAATGTTGAGCATCTAAAGGGAGACAGATGTGAAGGGGGAAGACATGGAGGGGAGAGGTCAGAGGTCACGATGGCTATGAAGTGCTGCTGTAGTGTGTATACCTCCTTAGCAGCAAGAAGACAGAATCTCTCCTTGTAAGACACATTCGTAATAAACTTTAAAGGGTTTTGACCTTAGGAATTATGTGGTCCCAACTACACAATCAACTCAATTCTTTTAGGGTTGATTATCTGAGTTGGGTATAATTCCTTATCTTTTTTTTTTTTCTTTCTTTCTCCTCCCTTACAAAGTTGCCTAGGAAAATACATAAAAGGAGATGAAATTCACCCTTCTTAGGCCCCAGGGCTGCTTTGGCTACTTTCCAGTGTAGACAGGTCAGACAAGCACTCCAGCTTGTATTCTTGACCTTCACCTCCAGCCAGTGCTCTGTGAGCGT